GTATAGTTTTTCAAAAAAACTAATACTTTTCAAGTTACTGGCCACTGAAGATTCATATTTTTGGCGGTTTTTCTTCTTTTTTTTTTTGCAAATATCTGCTAAAATATACATTTTAACGAAAATCATGTAATGAACAAAATAAGTCAATAAAAATCTTAATAAATCGGTATTACATAAGTGTTCTAGGAAAATATTAAGCAAGATTTGAAAGACCAAAGTCGTTTTTCATTTCGTTCAAGATTTAATTGTTGTATTTAAAGCCATCTAGTATCGAGGTTTTACATTTAATTGCATTTCGGTGAAATTGGGTTTTATAGCACTCAACATAGCTTTAAAATGAGTGCTGTTACAAGTTTTTTGCGTGTAAAATGAATGAGCTATCATGCAAATAAGAAGCATATACGAAGTTTTTTTCTTTTAAGTCATATGGTTTAATGAGCGCCATTTCCACCAGAATTAAAGTAATTCACATTCCATCTAGAATTGACTTCATTATAGACATCTTGATGGATTCTAGCAGATTCACTACTTTAGTACAAACTATTTTCAGAAAACTCACGATTTTATAAAAAACTTTATTTTCCAATTTGCGCGGCCGCGCAGTCTTTAAACATTCATAACTCTGTCAATTTTGTGTGAAAGAAAATAATAAGAAACAATAATAAGCCAGAAAGATTCCCTTGATTTTTATCTATATGCTTTTATACGTATCTTTTATTCTTTTTGAGATATAATGAAAATAAGTTCGATTTTTAAAAAAATTGGAAAAAAAAGTTTTTATAAAATTGTGAGTTTTTTGAAAATAGTTTGTACTAAAGTAGTGAATCTGCTAGAATCCATCAAGATGTCTATAATGAAGTCAATTCTAGATGGAATATGAATACTTTAATTCTGGTGGAAATGGCGCTCATTAAACCATATGATTTAAAAAAAAAACTTCGTATATGCTTCTTATTTGCATGATAGCTCATTCATTTTACACGCAAAAAACTTGTAACAGCACTCATTTTAAAGCTAATGTTGAGTACTATAAACCCAATTTCACCGAAATGCATAAAATGTAAAACCTCGACACTAGGCTTTAAATACAACAATTAATCTTGAACGAAATAAAAAACGACTTTGCTCTTTTCAAATCTTGCTTAATATTTTCCTAGAACACTTTATGTAATACCGATTTATTAAAATTTTATGATATTTTTGTTCATTACATGATTTTCGTTAAAACGTATATTTTAGCAGATATTTGCAAAAAAACGAAGAAAAACGCCAAAAATATATGAATCTTCAGTGGCCAGTAACTTGAAAAGTATTAGTTTTTCTGAAAAACTATATAAGACATTTTTTTCTTATAATTAGTTCTTCTATCGATTTCCGACGTTATTTTGAAAAAATGTAATTACACAATTTAGAAGGGGTGTCAGCCCCCCGGGGGGTGATGACGCAACCCGAATTGTTTTCACTTTTGAACTTGAGGGTAAGATGATCCTAATTCCAAAATTTCATTCAATTCGGAGCACAGTAAAAAAATTCAGAGGTTATACCCTTTTTTCCTCTCCGTTTACTGCACTAATAAAAAAACATGATTTTCTTACAAGCTGCGAAAAATTAGTAAAAATCTCATTTTTTCTGGATTTTTTAAGTTCAACTATAATCGATATAATTGAAAATATATATTTGTTTTGATTTTTTTTTGTTTTGGATGGAAATTGTGATCTGCATCTTTCCCGCCAAATGACACCTGCACGCTCGTGGCGCATCGGCAACATGCTTATACCCGGCATATTGTCATATATTTTAATGAAAAAAATTGAGAAGAATGTTGAATTATATAGCAATAAAATGTGAAGGTCTCGTTTCAATTAAATATTTATTTCCTTCCCTAAAAATTTCTCAAAAAAAGCGATTTTTTGAAGCGTCTAAAGCAGGCTCTCCCCTTAAAATAAAGTAAAGTGGTTACACCACTGTAAATTTTTTGAAAAACCAAAAAAAAAAAAATTTGGCTTAAAGTACTACTTTGAACCTTTTAGAATATGAGGAAAAATATTTCATACCTAAAACTTTCTTTCCCATGCGCGTCGAACTGCTCCGAACCGACACCGCTCAAATTCATTAACAAACTAGCTGTAAGTGGAATTCTGTCTTAAGGCAACTAAGGCATCGTGCCTTAAGGCAAATTGCTCGAACTTCCCGTACCAAAAATTATTATTTTTTTAAAAACGATTAACATTTTTGAAAAAATTTTACTTCGAAAAAATTAGATTTTTGAGAAACTATAAATTTGACAAAAAATTACTTTTTTGAAAAAAAAATTTTTTTGAAAAGAAAAATGTTTTCTTCATTTTGACATATTTTGGAAATTCTGAACTTTTTTTCAAAGCAATCGTACTGCTTTAACTGCATAGAGACGAAATGTCACAGCGCGTAAGCGCCGCGACGCCGTCTAACGGATAAACATTGATACGGAACCCACAGGAATGTAAACAAAATTTATACTTATTGTTAAAATCTCTATAAAATATCTGATAATTTAATGTGCATATGTCTAATGATCATTTTTGACCGCCGAATGGCATTTTTTTTTTACTTTTATCATTAGATCTCCGAAACCGCTAGACCTGCCTTTATGAAAATTTGATCAATTTTTCATCTTGTCAATACAAGTAAAATATTTTTTGAATTATGCAAATCGGACGCTCCGTTCTCTTAAAAACTGAGTTACCGTTTTCGGCACTTTTTGCCCCGTATTTCGGAACGGCTAGACCTGGCTTCGCCAAAAACTAATCAGCACGTCACCTTATCAATACGAATCGAATGTTTTTTGAATTATTCAAATCGGTTGATCAGTGTTCCCAAAATCGTCGACGAAAATTTATATCCGCACATACATACATACATACACACACACATACATCCATTTTTTCTAAGGTATGCCAAAATGTTCAGAAACCTCTAAAACGTAAAGATATATAAAAATTTTCATTTTCGATGTTTTTGCGATTACTATAACTTGCCTTACGGGAAGTTAAAAATATTATAAAGCAAAATGAAAACTTTTTTAAATATACTAATATATGTTATTATTAAACATTTATATTGGATAAATAAACTGTAAAAGCTTTTTTAACCAATAGATGATCAGTGCAGAGTCAACACATATAAGGGTTGGCTATATATTGCGGCCGATATCGCTGGGGATAATTTCAACGATGGTCTAAGCAATATTTTATAAATGAAAATAGTTTTGGAGATTAATATTGGCATCTAAACATGTAATTTTTGTCATAAAGTCGATTATAAAACGGTTTAAGCATGCCGAACGGTCTTTGACGGATGCGCCAGAAGTAGGACGCTCTAATATAAAATCATCAAGAAAAGAAAATAAGAAAAAAAATATAAAAATAAAAAGCCATTTGTATGTTGCTGGAATATCAGACTAATAGTAAAAAAAATTAAACTGACATTTTTTTATTTTTTCTTATCTCCAAACACGATTTTACAACACGGCACGCAAAATAACTACAACAATTTGAACTTTTTTCATTCAATTTTTTACAGTATATTTAAAATTACATTTATAAGTGCCCATCATAGAAAATCTTCTGATCATCAATTATTAACAAATTACTATCCGTTTTTCGTTGAAATTTAACGATTTTGAATAAAGTGCTCGCCAAACCAATAAAAAGCGATTTTTTTCAAATCCGCTATGATGTGCACTTTAAAATGTTATTTTAAATATACTATTGAAAATTCGAATGAAAAAAAATAAAATTGTTGTAGTTATTTTGCATGCCGCGGAGCGCCTCCAGTTTGACGCGGCTCGCCGAAATGGCAGTGGTGGAAAAAAATAACAAAAACATACGTTTTTTTAAACGCAATATAAACAAAATTGATACACATTATTAAAATCTCCATAAAATATCTGATAATTTGATGTGCATAAATCTAATGATCATTTTTGACCGCCAAATGATCATTACCATTTTTTTTACTTTTTTTAATAGATCTCAGAAACCGCTAAACCTGCCTTCACAAAAGTTTAATCGCTCGATGCTTAACTGATATCTTTCGAATATTCATTGATTTTTTCAAATCAGTTCAGGATTTTTTAAAACAAAAAAGTTTGCACTTTCTTGGTAATTATGTCGAAACACAAGTCCTTATCGAGTTACATTAAATAGCTTTTAAATTTTTAAAATCGGATCAGACGTTTTTGACAAAACTGTGGTAAAAGGTCAAAATTCGGCTCATATGCACACACACACATTCTATTTCCAACTTTACTCGATTTAATACGTCAAGAAAACATTAAATTTTCTGGAAAAAAACTAAATTATTTGAATAGTTAATTAATTATATTATGCTTAATTTCTTCAAGTAAATATTTGAAGGTTTCAATGAAATAGTTTGATGGTTATGTAAATCTTTAAAAGAATTTTTATATTTCGTATTTATTGCTATCTACAAATTTAATGAAACATTAAATTTTTGGAAAAAAACTAAATTATTTGAATAGTTAATTAATTATATTATGCTTAATTTCTTCAAGTAAATATTTGAAGGTTTCAATGAAATAGTTTGATGGTTATGTAAATCTTTAAAAGAATTTTTATATTTCGTATTTATTGCTATCTACAAATTTAATGAATATAAAATATGTGCATTAGAAATAAAATTAACAAAAATTAGCAGCGAGTACACTCTTGAAATTTCTTAACTTAAATTTGTTACATGTAATGTAAGGCATTATTATTCGTTTCATGCCCCATTAAAACCAATTCGGCCAATACTAACAATAAATAAGTTTAAAATTAATTAGTCTGATATTATGGATAATATGTTTTAGTAATTTTTTATGTACAAAATATTGTAACAACTTAAGCAAACCTACATTTGTCAAATAAAATTTTCAATCACCATAATAGTATACACTTGTTAAAATAAATACAAAAAAATCATAATTGCTTTCATTACTACAAATTTGAAATATAAAAACAGCTTAAATGTGTACCAATAGGTGAGAAATTACTAACCTTATTAAGAAATAAGGTTAAATAATCATCGGAATTCTAAAACCAAATACACACTTTAAAACCAAAAACCTTCATCATCAACTGTATGTGGTTTGGTTTCTTCTACAGGAGAATTTTCGTCATCACTTTCACTAATAGCCAAGTCATCATCAATTCCCATTGGCTGAAATGAAACAATAATACATAAGTAAAATAAATAAAATTAACTAGCTAAAGTTCCAAAAACTTCCCGATAGGTGTAATAATTAACTTAATCAATCGAAATTGGGTTTTAGATATTTAGATAAAATTTTCAATTGTTTATTTCAAAAATCAATTAAGTCAAAACATTGCGATTTCCAATTGATATCTCTCATACACATTCATAATATCACTGTAATTATATTAATTATAGTGCACAGGCACTTGCTTGTATGCCATTATTCTAAATTTTAATTAATTTACATAATTCAACCAATTTTCGTAAGACTGTTTAGTGCATGAACTTTATCAAAATGTTAAATTTCATGATAAACGTCGAAATATTTTTTTAAAAAACTTAAATTATTTTGTGAAATATTCAGCATCTGCTATAAGAAAATACTGACAGAATTTCGTATATCATGTACATAGTTCTAGATATAATTTAATTATTTAAATGAATAGTAACATTTTTTACAAAACTAGAGAAGTTTTGTAGACTGTTTATTTACTTTCTTGCTAATTTGACTTGATTGACTTATCACATCCCAAAAGCGACATAAACTTTGACTATAATATTTTTTCAAACTTTGATGAATTTTTAAAATTAAACTACTTGTCATAGGGCCGTAATATTTCAGTATGTTCTATAAGACCATGTTAACAACAATCTATCGTCAAAAAAAGTTTCTCACCAGTTAATTACGAAAGAACGGCTCGGTCGATCTTTACCTAAAACTAATCAGTATCATTCTCAACCAATATCTTTCCAACAGTGTTTGATTTTTTAAAATCGATTCAGGATTGTGAGCTAAAACGTCGATGAAAAGTTACACACTTTTATGCAAATTACAAAGAAACGGCTCGGCCGATCGTCACACAAAAATGAAAAATTATGTCGAGATCATCGAATAGCTTTTAAATGTTTGAAATCGGTACAACCGTTTTTGAGAAAACGTCAATTTAAGGTAAAAAAATCTGTTCACATACACAAATACAGGCACATACTTTTTCTAAATTTGGTCTCATTCGATTCAGAATGGCTTGAAACGTCGAGAAAACATAAAATTAACGAATCGAATTTTTTGATAAAAACAAACCTCTCTTTCGAAAAGTTAATCATATATAAATATATGAAATAAAAACAAAAATATGAAAAATGTAGATTAAGTAACGGTTTGCTGTATAAATGCTGTATATATATATATATATATATATATATATATGATTCAATAAATTTATAATTTTTAATTACCATGTTTTAATTGGTGTTATTCTTTATTAAAATCATCTATAAATAAGTAAATATAGTCTTGGATTTGCTATTAATTTGTGCTGTGTTCAGAGAAATGAATTTGAATAAAAAACATGTTTATAAGAAACATGCCAGATTTTTATTTGAGAATATAGATTATGTTCGAGGATTATTGCAAAAACATATAAATCAAAAATTCTAATTAAATATGTTAAAAATATATCACAAATACTGGGTTATCGTCTAATAGCCATCTGCTAAATTAACAAAACAATTTTAGAATATATTTTAAATGTTAATCTATTTCAAAATAATATATATATATATATATATATATATATATATATATATATAGTTTTTAATAAGGTGACCATTCCCAGTTTTCACCTTGTGTTCCGGTTTTTTTTCTATAAGCATTATTTGTCGCGGATTTAGATCTTTTGTCCCGGGTTTTCAAAAAGTGTAGACTTAAATTAAATCTTTGCTTTTACTTGATAACGAAATTATAACTTTAGAATATGCTCATATGAAATATTACACTATAAATGAAAAAAAATGCCAAAAACAAAATTTATAAGGCGAGTTAAAATAGCTTCTTACATTAATAATTTTTACGAAAATTAACAAAAATTATGAAAACTGCTGCTGAAAATTGACTGCTGTCTAGCATAAGTGCTATTTTTTTCAAGATAATTATAAAAAAAATGAACAGACTTTTATAAAAACTTTGAAAGCAAATAAAACATCCGGAAGTCAGTAATTCTGATTAGAAAAAAAATAATTAAAAACTTATTGCATTTTTAAATGCAATTTCTATTTTAAAAATATTAAGTTTTTTAGCATATATTTCCCTCTCCGTCCCGGAATACCTCAACTAAAAATTTCCGTCTCGGTTTTGACGTAAAAAATATGGTCACCTTATTTTTAACCATGTAGAAAATATGGCTGATGTATATTTTGTAGTTACACAACACAGAATTGTTGTCATTTCATCGTGGAGTTTTTTTTTTTAATTCTGGAGTGTTTATAAAATAAACCTTGCTGGCGTTTTTTCTTGAAAATAGATTTCTGACTATTTATGCCATGTATCTAGTTATATTATACTCTATTAAGAAGTAAAACTGGGCAAATTACATCTGAGACAGCGATCAATTACGAAGAGAAACAGTTAAAGCCATAGTGAAGAAAAGTGTATTGGCGAAAGAAGAAGAGGTAAAGGGGATAAAGAGAGGTTGGATGAAAGGAGAAGATATCTAAACAAATGTGGATTTGGCCAGGAAGGCATAGTACAGCTGAGTGCAACCAGATCGAATGTTGAAGAGGTACTGCAGGAGGGAGTAAGCGAAGTACAAAAACAAGAACGATCCAGATACAACAGAAAGTATAGAGAGATAATGACAAGAAAACTTCCGGAATATCTCAGAGACTGGAGCAATGGTTGCAATCAGAGAGTAATGGCGCGCTGTAGATGTGGCACCATGGATAAAAATAACAAACACTGGCTGAGCGCTGAAGAACAAAGGTGTGAGCTATGCAGGAAGGACACAGTTGAGCATTGGAAAAAAGAATGCTAGAGATGACTGGCGATGCTAGAGAGAACAAGCATTTCTGCAGAGAACATTCTCAGGGGCAAGAACGACAAGAAAAGTCTAGGTTGGTTGAAAATAATCGAGCGCATGAAGAAAACAAAGAAGAAACAGTCTGTCTAGAACGCTAAAGTTATTAGATCCTTGATTAGGTTTTTATTTATATATAATCCGCGGGTTGGGTTTAAGGTATTATTGTGACTTAAGATATATATTGTTGTATTTCTAGGCCGTTAGGCTCAAATAAATAAAAAAATATAAAAAAAATATCTAGTTATATTATATACAAACCTTATTGTCTATCCAAGTTTCGGGTCGATTATGGGTTTTCTTCTGATCACAAAAACCTGCTGCCAAAAAGTCTGATGGATCATAGTTTGGATCCACGTCCAAACTTTCATCTAGAATATAATATACAAAAAATATAAATGCAAAATATGTGAATCTAACTGATTTCACTATAATATTCATAATAAATGTCAGCTGAAATCAGAAATTAGAATATACTCAAATATACTCAAAGATTAGTAGAAAAAGTACTGGTAATCAATACTTAGTATTTTAATGTTCTATCTTTCTATGAAACAAAGACAAAAGTTTTGCTCAGTTTATAAATAAACTCTTGGTGCATGGCATCATGCCTTAAGGCAAATTGCTGAAACTTCTCGTGCCATAATTCAAATTGCTTTAAATTTTTTGAAAAATTCGATATTTTATAGTTTTGAAATTTGAATTTTTTTTTTAAAAAATCTGCTTTTTATAATTAGATTCTTTTTGAGGATTTTGAATTTTTTTCAAAGCAATCGTAGCCATTTTAGAGACGAAATATCGAAGCGCGTAAGCGTCAAAAATGGTTAAATGTTATAAATATTGTACGGAACCCATAGAAATGTAAACAAAATTTGTACTTATTATTAAAATCTTTATAAATATCAAATAATTTGATGCGCATAAGATCAATGATCGTTTTTGGTTTGTTTTTTACATTTTTCATCGGATCTTCGAAACCGCTCGCCCTGCGGTTTCCCAAAAAAAATTCAGTTTTTAATTTCGTCAATAGTGATGTGAATCATTCAAATCGAACGCTCCACTTTTTGCCCCGTATCTTCAAAACTGCTGGACCTGCCTTGGCCAAAAACTTATCAGCACGACTCCCCATCAATGGGGGATATAATTTTTGAATTATTCAAATCGGTTAATCCTTGTTTTAGAAATTATCGACGAAATATTGTATCCTCACTCACATACATACCTACACACACTTACGCATACATACACAGCCAGAAGGCTACGTAAAGATACACAAAAATTTTCGTTTTCAATTTGTTTTTGCGATTAATATAATTTACCCTACGAGAAGTTAATAATACCTTGTGATTGCGTGTAAAACCCAATGCCAAGCTGAACCATTGCCTCGGCCACTTGTTGGCTATCATCATCCATCTGATTTGTAATGTTTTCCTCCTTCACAGCTGCTGAAGGCATACTTAAGTTGCTAGAATTACCAATATTTGAACTATTATTCTCGGCTTGACTTTCACTATCACTAAAAGGCACTTCTTCAAATTCATCATCATCTGTAGAATATTGTAAGTCTAAAAAATATAATGGTAATTATCTAAATATAGTTTTATGCGGAAATAAATAAACTATAATTCAAAATTACAACATACCTTCTTCCAAATTATGTACAGTATTTTTACGTGGCCGTCCTCTACCTCTTTTGGGTCCAATTTTAACTGTAGATGATTAGAATTTAGAAATTATTTTAAAAATATATATTATATGCAAAAGTAACATTAGGGAAAAACTATTGATGAGAAAAATTGTATCCAATTCTGATTGTGCATCATACTAAATATTACCATAGGCTTTCTAATTTAGAAAGTTAATTGAACTTTGGAGAATAATATTTATATTGATGGAATAATATAGAAAAATAACTGGCAAAATACGCTTTTTAATCCAATTTCATATCAAATAGTATAGAACATGATTCAAGATTTATATTATATTTCAATTTACTTTAAAAATGTGTAATAATGCTAGATATGCCATTATTGGCTTTCCGCAAATAATCTCCTAAAGATGCAACTTTCATGATATAAGATCTTTGGAGTGAAGTTAAACGAGTAGGCATTTTCAATAGAGTGCTGTACTAGGATACTTTTGATTTTTTTTTGTTTATGGTGGACCACACTTAGTTCATGTTGTCTCATTCCTTTGTGTACATATTGTGAGGTTTGTCCAATATATTGGAAAGCACAGTCGTTACAAGAAACAGAATATACTACGTTAGTATTGAAATTGGATGGGGTAGGAGATTTAATGTTCGAAAAAAATTTTTGAAGGAGTGTAAGGATGAGCCTGAAACTAAAATGTTTTCATCTAACAGAATTGTGGCAAAATAATAATATAACTCTTCAACGTATGGAATGCTGCAGTAAATAAGATTGATGTTTTTGATGTTGGTGGTAGTGGTATTGGGAGAATTAATGTGTGTTTTTAAAAAAGTTCGTCCTTTTTGAATAACCGAATGAATAAGATTTTTTGGGTAACCATTTTCAATTAGAGTTTTTCTTACCAGGGATAAATTTTGTGGATGGAAAGTTTGGTGAGACAACAAAATAGCATGGTCTGTGAGGGAAATAATTGTGTTTATTTTATAGTTTCTGGGACAGTATGAGGAAAAGTGTGAGTATCTACCCGACCATGTAGTTTTTCTATACCAATTGTTCGAATAATGTTGTTAGTATTGTAAACGGATACATCCAAGAAATAAAGTCTGTGTTATTTGTAGTTCATGTGTGAAGTATATTATTGTTAAAGTTTTGAAAAGATCCGTATTGTGTTAATATGATTTTGTTAATGATAAAAGTGTCATCTACATATCTAATATAAAAAGTTAATCTGAAATTTTAAAACTTGAGAAAACGGAAATTTCTCGGGTCTGTAAAACTAAGTCTATAATTCCGGGAGATAAGGGACATTCCATAGATGCGCCTTCAATTTGAGAAAAAAGTTGTCTTGATAATAGAAATATGAGTAATTTAGAATAGTATTGATAATGTGAGCGAAGACTGTTTGGGAAAGTCAGTAAAGTTACAAATTGTGTGCCAACGTTTATCGATTGAGTTTAGAATTAATTCATTTGGGACACATGTAAAAAGGTTGACCACATCTAAGTTATAAATAAGTGATTTTCAGGATGGTGCGGTTATAATTAAATTCACAATTGGTAAAATTCTGACATAATAGAGAGATTGATGTGACATTTTTTAGGACATCAGAAATGAGTTTCGAAATGTTTGTAAAAAGGAGACAATCGGCCTGAAAGTCTTCAGGTTTGTGTATTTTTGGAAGACAGTGCATCTTAGGAGAGATAGGGTGTTGTATTTTTAGGTTAAAAGCAAAATTATCAGAAATTAGTTTTTTGTTTTTTAGATCATTGATTAATTTAAGAGCTGTTAAAATATTATATGTTGTATCATCTTTAAGTAGATTAAGAGCGGAATTATTTTTATTACTTTTTGGATTCTTGTTCGAAACTCTACAAAATATATATATACATATATATATATATATATATATATATATATATATACATAAAAAGTAAACATTCAGAATAAATATATAGTTGATTCTTTCGGTTTTAATACTTCAGCTAAAATACAATTAAAGCTAAAATTATAAAAAGATTGAATAAAGTAAAATATGCTCATCAGGTAAAAAACTACAATTATAAAAATTAAATATATGATATTGATGTTGTAATGTATAATTTTTATTGTTTTTTGATTTAAAAACATCCATGCCAAGATAAATAAAAACAAACTATTAATATTATATATAACATAGTGATAGAATGCCTTACAATGAACAAATGATCAAGCCAAAAAGGTAAAAACATAATTTAGTTTCACTTGAGATTTAAGCAAAATACTGCTCCTTTCAAGCACTCATGCAAAATATAAATAATATGCTGTCTTCCAATGCAGTTATCAGCATTATTATTTAATAAACATAAAAAGTTTCACTCTAAAATTACAATAATAAGAAAATTGAAATTCTGAGACTGCCAGGGAAGCATATATATTCATATCATCAGCAGTCAAAGAATTAAATGTTGCATAAATATTTATCTTTTCAAATATATTTCTACATTATGATTCATTTATTTAAAATTAATGATCATATTAAAAAAAACAATACAATGATATGATAAAAAAAATAGGAATATTTATAACAATTTTGAAGAAAAAACATACGTATTTTTTATATTAAAACGTTTTTTTTTTTTAAGAAAATAATTATTTCTTCAACATTCAACAATAGTAAATTTCAAAACAACAAACATGTTATTATTGTTAGTTTATTAAACATGCAGCAAATGATACTAGTATTACTAATCATGCAAAAACAACTAACCTTCTTCTGAATTCTCCCTGATTTTACGGGGCCTGCCACGTCCTCTTTTGATGTCACTGAAATTCGACCTATTGCCCGAATGTGCTGTTCCTTCGCCTTCGATATCAACAAAGTCAAAATCGTCGTTTCCAATACTATGAGTAGAATTGTCATCCTAAAATAAAAAAAATTAATCAACACCATCAGCTGCAGTTCCTACAACTAAACTTCATCTATAATAAATTTTTAATCTAGCTTTTGAGCAATCAAAATAAATACTACTTTGAACTAAGCGGAAACTACCCCCCTTTTTGCGCAGTGTACCATAACGAAAAAAACAAAATTAGATTACTTTATTTCTGATTATTTACTCAATTTATATACACTGAAATATCCTTACCGTCTGTAGTCGCTTGAACTCAGGTTCAGCAATGGTAAAGTTATCCTCATCCCCCCAAACGCCATCCAACTCAGCCTGTTCTTTTGCCCTCTGTTGAACTATTAATATATTAGCTTCTAATTGTGAAACATCCAACTGAAAAATTAATTTGATTCAATTAATTAAATGGCATATAATAAATAAAATTTATGCATTACCTCATCAAGCGCAGACTTTGTGAATTCTACTAATGCTTTAGCTTGTTTTGTGAAACTAGAATCTGGACCGTTATACTGTTCGCAGTTCGATTCTATAAGCTTTATATCAGCTAAAAATTCTTCCCGATTATGATATTTGTGAGCTGAAAAAATAAAGTAATAATTGCAAAAATAATAGCGAATCATATAAATAACGTTGATGGTAGGCTCTACACTATTTCATAAAGCATACACAAACATCGCTATTTTTTTTTTTTGTATTTTTCATTTTCATTTTGTAAAGTGTCAGCAAGGGATTCACATTGAAATTTAATTTAAAA